CCATAGAATTTTGTTTAGTAAACACTAATACAATCTTAATCAGTGATAATTAAGAATTGATTTTCACTTACATTAGTAGTTATCTGGAACTCACTGTATGTGGTGTATATTGTTTGGAGAGAGAAAATGCATCACTGTGAACAACCAATTCTGTTATTTTTACTAATTTCATAAAAAGCTTCATATAAACATATTTCAATCTTAAGAAGCTGAATTTAAATGTGAGCATAAAAAATAACTACTATATTTTACACCATCTGTTTCACATTTTTATCATCTACTTACATGTATATACAGCAACTCATCAGTAGAAATATATTATCTTCTCTTTCAAACAAGACATCAACAACAAAAAGACTTTTCTTTAAAAAAAAATTTGAGTGTTTATAAAATTTAAGGTGACTAAAACTTTAGTAAATACTATAAAAATACAAAATTTTGCTTTAAAAAATACTGAATATGCATAGTTTGAATGGACATTTTTGTTATGCAATTATGTCACAATAAAAATTTTGATTAGTTTACATTTTTGGGAAAATTACTTGTAAGCATTTCTGCAGTACTGCATGATGCTAGTGTTAGGTTGCAGAAATCACACTTCTAATGGAAAGTTTACTATCTTCACCATACCACTACTAAACTGTAGGTATATATATATATATATATATAATACAAATACTAGTAATTCATAATTGAAAACTTGGAAAACATACACTAGTAGTGTTGTGTTTATACAATTATATAAATTTCATTTCTTTAAGTAATGAGCAAATAGCTGATTTTTTTAATGATTAAATGTTATTCTATACATGGTTTGTACACATTCTGCCAATCAAAAAAAATATTGTATACTATATACGTTTGAATACCTTTAATTGTTAAACACTAAAAAAATTTGTAGTTCAATAATAATGCTTGTCTTTAGAATAACAATTTCATAACTCAACATTTATAAATTCAATTTAGGAAAAAAGACTTAAATGATGATACTTGTGTGCCTTTTTTACATATATTTTAAAGAGGAAAAAGAAAACTAATTTCTAACAGAGGATGAAAAAGCTGGTAAACTAGATAGACCAACTACATCACCAAGACCACTGATTCTCTCAATAACTTATGAACACTGTACGTAAGAGAATTTGAAGAGTATATTATTCTACTTGACAGAAACACTTCATATATGAATACATATTTTCAAAATTTCAGAATTTTGTCTTAGATTAATATTATTAACTGACCATAGGGCCATGATGAGCAACTTTACAAAAGGCCACTCAATTCAAAAGATTAGGAAAACTAGTATAAAGCTGCCTTTAAGTAGAAAAGGATTATCTATCACAAAAATTAATTCTGAAAAATCATTTTTTTGAACAAGAATATATCTCACTATAAAGGATTCTATGAGATTTACATGAATCAAGGGCTTTAAACTTCACCAAACAAATTGACTTTACAAAAATCTACCAAAGTTCATTGACAATAAATATTTCCTTTTAAAACTGGAAGACTACTTCATTTTCACATCGAAAAAAACCAAACTACTGTGTGGTACTCAGTAACTGGAAGTTTACACAAGAACTATTAAGTAGTTGGTTTTAGTTATTTTCAGACTTCCAATCAACACAAGAAATTTTGTTTAGGTTGCTTATAAGATTGTTTTTGTTGTTGTTTTCAAGCTATTTTCACCACTTTTTTTACACTTCCCAAAGGTTGTTAAATTTATATATAAAAAAATTTAAGATCCCTATATTTCAACTGTTTTATTAGTCAACAGCTTGCTGTAAGTAATTTTATTTTTTATTGAAGCAAAAAGTTCTGAAAGAAATTTAATTTGCTTTAAAAATAAAGTTGTTTTTATTACATTTGTTATATTTTACTGAGTTACACCATACATTCCACAATATTTACTCAATTCAAACATGAACAAGCTCTTAAACCAAACTTTTACAACAAAACACATTGAAGATTTTCTTTAGAGCTCACAAAATATTGCATGTAAAAATCCTGTCAAACAAAACATGTTGCATCCAAGTAAGCCAACAAAAGTCTTATAAAATCTACAATTTTTCTTTCAATCTTTTTTGTGACTTTCTTTCTTCTTTAATCTAATCTGTGAAAGACAAAATGGTAGTTTATTATAAAAACTACAGTTGAAAAAAAATCTACAATCATTTTCTTTTAACTTCTACAGCAAAAACAAAGCACGTATACAAAATTATTTTATGATCAAAGGACAATCATAAAGTTCATATACTTACAATTTTGTGTTAACTTTCATAAAAAAGCAATTTCATCATAAAATGAATTTGGAATAAATTATGTGCAAATTATTGATTACAAAAATAAACACAAAATAAAACTATTTAATACATACAGAACACACTTTTCTAAAAACATCACATTAACAAAAGATGATGATTCAAAATTCAGCAACTGATATAATAAATCATGTTAACAAATTAACTAGTTATAAAAATAATGTAATGTAAATAATTATTATTTTTACTTATTGTCACGATTGTAAGAACTTAAAATATAATTAATACACCACTGTTTTCTGGAAAAGTCACTACCACAGTTTCACTGTAACTTATTTAGAATATTAGTTTAAAATTGTATGAAGTTACGTCAATCCATTGAACAGTATACAAAACTAATAATAGTAAACCTTGACTGATTATAATACACACGCATATTTAACAAAAACACATGCTATAAACCTCCTTGCAAACATACATTAATAAAATATGAGATATTCAAAATAATATAATACACAATACAGCTAAGAACACAAATACATATGAACACTGAATAACAAGTGAATTAATCTATACCTTTCATTTTGCTCCTCAGTTGTCTTGAGAAACTTGGCCGTCCTTTTGGGTTGAAAAACCTTTCCATTACTATAATGAAAAGAACTTGGACAAGGCTGATGAATCACTGTTTCAGAACCTTCAGTAGCATCACTAAAAATCAAATTTTGGCAAGGCAAACTTGCCCATTCATTGCAGGCAATAGGCTCACACCCAGAAGGATTGAGTTCTTTACATACCAAAAAGTTCTTTATAGGCTGACAAGTGGTAAAAGTTGTACTTTCTTTTGTAACAGAGTACCTCTCATGCATACTTAATTCTTCTAAACTAGACTCCACATCACTGTAGCTATTATTTCTTCCATTTAGCAACACTATTTCAGGTACCCTTGGTGAGCAGGGGACACCACAGTAACAACCTGAATCATCAGAGTGGTAAGATGATGGCCTCTTCCTTCCCAGAACCCCTCGACTAGAATCTTTCTCAAAACTAAGGCAGTTCTCCACCTTCTCCTTTTTTTCAAAGCAACAAGAAAACTTGTCACTGACATTCCATAATCCATCCAATTTGAGGTTTGTGCAGGAACTATGTACTTTGGCACTGGAAAAAACTTGACTGTGCTGCAAAAATGGCAATAAAGTGGAACCTACAGTGAATGATACTAAACCAACATTATCTTTTTCTTCCTCACCTTGCTTGCAACTTAATGAGTTATTATGGACGGAACTTGGTATTACCAGTGTGTTCTCATCTGGTGGTTCCGAATAAAGGGAGTTTGGAGATTCAGGCAGAGAAATATCTGACATACAACTGTAAATTTGTGTCAGTCTCTGCTGCAATAACGTTGGAGAAGGAGCTTGAGAGTGTACAGAAAGTCTTTGAAGACCTATGGACTGAGTTATTTTTGGCAGAGGCAAAGATTCCTCAGGACTGATAGGACTGCCAGGAGGAGTTGGTGCTCCTGAAGGAGAGGGAAGGTCATAAGAACAGCTAGGTGACAAGAATATTGACTGTTCCACAATCTTCTTTTGTCCCTTGAAAAGGAAATGGGTATTGAAGGGATTCTGTGAGCTGCTGTTGGGCTTGTAATGGGGGTCATCCTTTGACATTACATCTCCAATATCTTTTGGAGTAACTGCTGGAGCAGCAGTTGAGGACCTGACCTTACGAGGAGTTTCAACTGGCATCAGCTGTTGGTTATCTTCACACCAGCTTCTCCGGTTAATGACTAAATGAAATATCACAAACTATTAATATGAAGTGTGTTGAAATGTAAAAACAAGTCTCCTTTTTATATAACAATGTCCACATACTCTTCCTATACAGTCATGTGTGAAGGAGGGTGGGTGGGGGTGACAGCATTAAAACTATAAAACAATTTTTTGACCAATGATTTCTAGGTAAATTTAAATGGTATATTATCAAACTGTTTTTACTCATTAAAAAAAATTTAAATATAGAACTTTGTTGAATTGTACAAAGACAGAGAAAGTTATAAGGTTTTATTCATATTGTAATAACCTGTTTCATTAACAAAAAATTGCTTAAATATGTCCATCACTACAAATCAGACCTCAAAATAGTGTGTATATATGTAGATGGGTCAGGATCAACCGTCCCATGAGTGATCTCAGTTTGTCTCGCTACTGAAAAGTCATTTTATATTTTCTGTAACAACTCTAGTTTGTAATGTATGTTCTTGTAGTCTACTTACATAACAGTTGCTTTTAATAAAACTGTCTTTATCAAGTCAATATCAAACAGGTTTCAGCAAGGTACCAAAATGTACAACTTGTTCCTTATTCTAAGCCATACAATAAATAGCTTATGCTTTTAAAGACATTTGTTAAATATAGACTTGTTCACTGGTAAACCAACAGAAAAACTCCTAACATTTAAAAAAGCAGTAATTCAGCATCTGATGTGATTAGTTATTAAAACTTGAGGTGGCTTTTTATTGAAACATAAACAAATATTAAAATAAAGTCAATAAAGAAAGAAAACTAAAGCATTAAATAGACACAAAAGAAATTGTATGAAGATAAGATTTCTTTTTAATTCCAAACATCTGTAGAAAAGAGGACCATATGCAGAATATTATTAAAAAACTAATAAAATATCTGCCATAGTACAGACTTTGTTGCCTGATGCAAGTTATGTTCCATTTGATCTTTATGTACTTTTACCTACATAATAAAATTCTTTTCTCTGAAAATTGGCAGAAAGCTATGAAATCCAGTTATTTATACATTTCTTCTGTTCTTTTTTCCTATGTATATTATGTGCTTTTATGAGAAATTCATTTTAATGACAATTTTGCTTTTTTTTAAAGGTTTTTATTAAGTTTCACACATCATCTGATACTTTCAAATATTCAATTTTCTTCTTCTTCTTCTTTTCCTTTCACCACAACTTGTAAAAACCATTCCCCATTAGAGAATTAACATGTATTAGATGAAGTATGTCTTTACATTGCCATAGTAGAGTGTATGTTGCCTGGTGTGAGTTACAAGTATGTTCATTTAGATCTTTATCTAGTTATACCAAAGAAATCTATAGTGTTTTACACGGATAAAAAAAAAGTACCAATCTCTTTTACTGTAAAACAGAGAGTTGTATGTTTGTCACGTTACATAGAAAATATGCAAAACGTCAGTTTTTCTAGCTGAAATTTCTCAATACTGATGTCATTTAGGAACCTTGCAAAGAACCAGCTAAGAAACTGATATGTGAGCAAGCTCACAGAAAAATAGAAGTACCTATTACAGGTACACAAACTAAATCAATAATTTAAGTTTACAGATATTTGTGCAGTAGTATAAAGCTCTAGGACAAACATTCAAACTGCTAAAGTTATACAAGTTTAAAAAATATCTTCAGTATTAAGAATATCCTAATGTTTGTAGGACTGTTTACATATAGATACATGTTTTTTGATCATGATGCATTTCTAAATTCAAAATATCTTAATTATTTTCTGCCCAATCATATCCATTTCTCAATGGTTTAAATATTTTTTTGATTTATTAATCATAAACCTTAAGCCTAACCTGTTCATAATATACCACTTGATCAATACTGATAGATAAAAACCTCTGATTATTTGCTAAGGTTTATCATATTTCTCAAAAAAATTCTGAAGATAAACATACTTTAAAAAGGGGCTAGAAATGATTTATTTTTCAATTTATAAAAGATGGTTCTAATTTTGCATTTTACTTTTTTGTATTCTTAAAAAAAAAGTATCAAAAAAGCGAGTTTGATCCCATAAAAAAATAGTGAAAATATTTACTTGTACATGCTATTGATCGGCTAAATTTACCAATGTATTGTACAATTTATAAAATGAAAGTCATTTTCATTTCAAATAAACTCTTTTCATTCATATCTTCTCAAATATTATACAATTTATACAATACTTTTAAATTCAAACACTTTCATTTAAGTTATAAAATAGCACTTTCTACAATAATATTTTTATTGTTCACAGTAGACTAAATCACCAAATTCACCTATTGTTCAAAGAAGTCTGAATAACCAAGTTAATTTATTGTTTACTGTAGGATAAATCACAACTTCATCTATTGTTCACAGAAGTCTGAATAACCAAATTAATGTATTGTTTACTGTAGATTAAATCATCAACTTCATCTACTGCTCACAGTAGACCAAATCACCAACTTCATCTACTGTTCCCAGAAATCTGAATAACCAAATTAATCTATTGTTTACTGTAGGACAAATCACCAACTT